TTACTTTTTCGTGACTCATAATGAGTTAAGTTACAGTTACAGATCAGGAGAGAAAGTAACGAAGTTAAGGTAGAGTTACCAAAAAAAGTAACAATAACTGTTACAAATAACGAGTTACTTCCCAACCCTGAGTTAGTATATAGTATATAGTTATACATAATTAGATATAATTATAAAGGAGCAATTGCTTTTCTTAAAAAATTTTTCATATAGATTTCTTGAATTATATAGAATTGTCTAGAATTGTATAGGATTATAAAGACTCATATAGAAATATAGAATATAAAAATATGTATGGAAATATTTGATATATTATATAATTTTATATAATTCTGTATATTTATTCATTATTATGTATGAACATTTTTTATCGGTTGATAATGACTCCGTCTTACGCGTTATATTGTGCATATATGTATACAGGATGTTCCAAAAAAGTCGGAATAACTTGGAGAGATTAAGTTTAAAAAAAATTTTCAAACAAAATATAGATTTATATTTCAAAAAATAAAAACTAGTTTTTTTATCAAAAATACTGGTCTTTATATAATGTTCCCCCATTTTTAAAAGCTCGTTTTTTTGTCGTTTCGTCTAATCGTACGTTGATTTACAAACTGTTATTAATTAATATCTCAAAATTTTACATGCCATGGTTATTTGCAAAATATAATACAGGACTTTTCAGTTTAACAAGATTTACCTACATACCAGCAGGTGCATGCTTTGGTCGGACACTAGATCTATACACACGGTACAGAGTGCACATAAAATCGGTCCCATACGTAAAATACAGTTTTAATGTTATTTTGTATTTTTATCCGAATGTCGCATTTCATATTATTCGATTATTACTACATTATGACCAAATAGCCAAGGAATATCCCTTTCATTGTACTTATCTTCGGAATTAGTCTCGGTGTGTCGCACACTTGCGTGCGTGCACGTGCATATGTATGTATGTATATGCATGCATGTATGCATGTATAACAAAATTCCTTGGTAGGCCGGATAACACTTCATGGAAACCGGATCGGAAATTGAGGACCCCTAATTTATAAAATTTCTCACGTATCGCGTAATAAAACGCACATGTTATACATACATTTGTATATAATTATGTCCAAAATGATATAGACAAAATTCTGTTACAAATAACAGAATGTAAAAAGAAGCGAGAGCCATTAAATAAATAATCGTGCAATCCTTGAAGGTCATTCTACATTAGTCGAGTTGTGGCGGAGAAATTTCATTTGCATTTCAATCAATGCAAATACGCTTGCGACATTGTGATTCGATTAATGTAGAACGAGTTCTCTCCGATTCTGTCATTCTGCGGCGTAATTTTTTCATTTATTTAGGGCAATCTCGGAAATTGGAGAGAATATATGCGCTGCATTTCTTTTGATTTGAGATAATAGCAAATTCTATTAATATTTACTAATAAAATATTACACTGCTTGACAGAAAGAGTATACATGAACAAAAGTAATCATTTACAGCAATTTTTTCAGCATCAAATATGATCTCGTTTGCTCTATATCACAATTTTGAGTTTATTTAACGCTCTCGTTTTTGTGGACAATCTTTGCTTTCTTGTCAAACAGTGTTACAGCACATCAAGATCGCGCGATATTGTGTGAACTCGCCTTACCTTGCGGTGAAGTTTCTTCGTTATAACACGCAATTCCCTCATGACATTGATGCAACACTAATGTAACATCCATGCGACCCATGTATCTTGCGATATCGTTACCTTATACGATTCGCGTCGACATGCCCGGCAAATGTAGCCGCTGATCGGCAAATCCTTCAGTTTTTTCGCGATGGTCCAGAATATCGTCGACTTCAGACGTTTGCAATCGTGTGTCACATGCTCGAAAAGCTCGCAGCAACGATTTCTCGTCGTCATTTTGTTTGTCGCGTTACGCGCGTCCTGTTTCGCGCACGCCGACATAGCGAAGCATGCGATGGCAACAATACGAATGAGAAATCGATCTGATTTACCCCATGCTTTTCGTGTCCACCAAGATCACTTACACCACCGTCACAGGACGGAATCAGTTTATTTCCCGAAAAGTGACCGTTAGGCTTTCCTCCTCTCTCTAATCGCTATTTCCTGAGCCAATGACAATTTATTATTAAAACCAATATCATTAACCTCGCAATACAATTTAGACAATAAACGAAAAAGAATTTCAAGAAAGTTACCCTTATCTAGGATTGTTAGACTGTACCTGGCTCGGCAGCCAGCTAAAGAATCGAGAGACTTACTTACTCGCGAATCACTTTATCTCTTTCGTAATACGATATTCTCTCTTGGCATTAATGCTGTGTCATATTTTCACCCGAAATATATCGTTGTAACTTACGACCCAGACAGATGTAACACAAAAGGGCAAGGTTACTGGCCAAGGCAAGGCTTGGCAAAAGGAATTGGAATAGGTATTTAAAAAAAATTAGAAACGGCAACACTTACGAGGGAGACGCTATTGACCCTTTTGCTTTACCGTAATGCTGAATGTAACCCAGCATCCCAGATACACCGTGAAATGGTCCATCGATACTAGCGCCATAATGAAATGGTTTTGTCGGTACTAACTCTGGATGTGGCCACACATAAAACGGTGTGACTGGCATCTTAAATACACACACACACACACACACATATGTGTATGCATGTGTGTATGCATGTGTGTATGCATGTGTGCGAGTGTGAGTGTGTTGTGTGTGTATACCTGCGGAAGGGGCATAATCGATTATCTTATCGTCGACCACGCCATATATTTTTCCTTGTCTGTGCCTTTATCACGATATTCATCCTTGATGAAGATATTTTGCTCAAAGTACTATGAAATCGATGAAAAGTGAAATAAAAATTATTGAAAGCTCACTGAATGTGTTTCAAGGTAAATCATAATTTTCTTTATGAAATACTGCGAAATGCAAGAGAAGTTAAAATACAAACTTTGCTATACGCTTGCGCGAGTCGATAACCAGATTTAGGCTAGTATTCATAGGCTGCGTCCGGGGAGACGCTATTAGCGCTGAAAACGTCTATCTTCGTCACTCACTGTATGTCGAACAAAGATAGAAGACGCTTTTAGCGCTGAAAGCGCGCTCCCCGAACGCACCTATAGTCAGATCTTATATTCAAGGCCGCCTTGAATTTGCATCTAAAGATGTTGTATGGAACATTTTATTGGCCATGGAGTATCTAAGGATGAACTTAAAACGGTGTTGAATATAAGATTTAACTATGAATATCAGCCTTACATATACAGTATTATGAGTAGCATTTAGTATACAACAATAATATAATAACATATAATACGCATCCCTGTAATTATTTTACTGGAAATATAATCAATTTTTGCTGGAATATTTGAAAATCTTTCTTAATTGATCCCGTTCTATTATCATGTTATCAATATTCCTGTAAAAATTCAGTAAAAAATAACTTTCGTTAAAAAGTAACACTGTTTTTAGGTAAACTCAGGTATAGCATCTTCTCCCACCTATCATTATCCCTCCCCACTTTACCCTTCCCATTGCTTCTTCCACATCTGTCAGCAAGATATTGAACAGCAGGGGGCTTAACGGGCATCCCTGCCTCATCCCCCTCGCCGTCCAAAATGCCTCCCCTACCTCTCCTCCCACCCTCACCCAGCTCTTCGTTTCCCGTAGCACTTCCTCCACTCTTTCCACTAAACCCTCCCTCACCCCCTCCCTCTGTAACACTGTTTTTAGGTAAACTCAGTAAATATGATATTTAACATTTAATAATTTCTTCCTTACTTTTCAACAGTATACTTTAATTTTTTTATATTTCACAATATTATATTGAATTTCATAAAGTAAATTATGATTTATTTTGAAATACATTTATTAATTTTTCGATAACTTTTCGATACTTTTATTTCTCTTTTCATCGATTTTGTAGTATTTTCAGCAAAATATTTCTATCTGGGTTATGATTGGAAAGTTTTATTTTTAATGCAATAACCGCGTTCAGCAGACACAACTGTTGAGTGAGCGCTCAGTATGATTGGTTAATACTTTTAGATCCAACCAATCATATTAAAAAATCACTGTCTGCTGAACGCAGCCAATGAGTTGATCCTGGGATAATTATCTAGTTCTTTTGCATGTGAACCACCTAGGGTGTTCTTTACACCCCATTTAAAAGTCACTATTATTAACTATATATTGATAATTCTATAATTTGTTAGGGACAATTTATTTGAAATTATATTATATGTATATGTAGATAGATATGGATTTTCTCGATTAATAAAGAAACTTATTGTCATTAAGCTGCAATTTCTGGTTGCTAAGCACACAAATCACCCCAGAGCTGCTTTCGCGAGAAGATCAAAATGATCTGGATTTAAATGACCCTGTGCTATGATTGGTCAAATCTCCTAGATGAAAACGGTAGATTACACTTATGGCAATTTAATGTAATACTGGGAATAAGAAAACACTGAAATACATAATGTACAAACACTGGAAGCACAGTAATCGAATTACTAAAAATTATTGTACATCAGTCATTAAAGCTCAAAATAAGTAGTAGTTTTTAGTAGTAATTACTAATAAAATTAAAAAGTAATTAAGTATTAATTCTCACTAGTAATAAATTTCCACAAGGCTAATTAAATAAGGGTATCATAATCTCGTTGCTCCGAGAGATGTAACGTTGGTGACCTAAACTTCTATACTACATAATTGCTATATTTGACTAGTGTTACCTTAGCAAAAGGGTTAACGGTTACTTTAAGAATTACCAGTGCAGAGGTTTCTCTTGGACTGAAATAAAAAACTTTCTTACTATTTTTTTATATTTAAAAACATGCTGCCAACATATTTGGGTATATTATAAAAACTAAAATTTTTGGGTCTTATATTTTATGACACCTGGTGTCGTAAAACCTTCAAAGGTTTCACTTTTTTTGCAGTCATAACATCGTACAAATAATTCATTTTGATTTATTACATTTCTTTCTAACAAATGCAAAAATGGTGACATAGTACTTTGTAAGAGTTTTTGTCGAGATCTCAAGTTTCCATTTCATATGGCACGTACTGTTTTTGCCCGTTCTGTTGTATCTGATTGTCTTGCATCGAACAAGAACGCTTGTGTGAATGGAAAAGCTACAAACGCGTTTGATGTTCCGTTTCCTGCATCCCGAGAAAATCCGGACAGCTCTGTTCTACCAGATTGATTCAAATCTGATTTATCCACGTTAAATAACTTCACGTCATGCGCTAACGTCGAGATACGATTCGCTGTTTGCGAAATATAATCTGGTCTGCGAAATAATTTAAATAACTTTCACTCGCATGACGATACATCCAATTTGTGCATAGATGCGAGTAAAAATAGTTGTGCATTAACAAGTAAAAGGTTTGCCCTGGTGGAAATATGTTGCTGAAAGTATTACCCAGAAAACAAGAAACATTAAATTCGTATTTATATAGAAATATTTACTTTATGTTACTTTTTGTAACGTTCTGACATAATAATAATATTTCATAAATATTGTTAATATCCCAGTAAACACTGATTATGATCATTATATAACATGAAAATAACATGTAATATAATACATGTTATACAGTATAGTTATATGTATGTCATATTTTTCTTTATATACACAATATAACTGTTTTATAGTTATTATATTTATTATAATATATACTATTATATACCTACTTAACTAAAAACTGTTATTTGTTAATAAAAAATGTTTGAATAATTTTTTATTGAATTTTTACTGAAATGTTGATAAAATAATAATGAAACGGGATCAATTGAGAGAAACTTTCAAATCCATTTTAATAAAATTTTGTTAAATTTTCAGAAACATATTTTTTCCAGGGTATATACTTACAATATTGTAAAGTTTCTGCTAACGTTTCGACGATCATCTAACACAAAAGTCTTATCAGATATATTAGATAGCGTAGTCACGGTATCATCATTCCATGTTGAACTGTTAGTGACGACAGAAGGTGTAAATGTTGTTGTTACAATATTAAAATTTGTGCTGTTTATAGCGCTATCCTTGGTCGAGTAAAAGGTTCGCAATATTTCGAAAAATTGCGCACTATCTGGTATCTCGGAGCCTTGATCGTTCGCGAATGTGTCAGCAGTAGTCTCTATTATTTGCAACGTCGAGATCGCGGAATGAAGCGATTTACTAAAAGAATAAGCATGTAAATAAAAAGGCTACTTTCTTTATGGAGTATATAAATAGACATATTTCTTTTCGTAATCATACTTCTTCCATTCAGTTGAATAATCATCTATGTCAGAGGATCTCAAAGCAATACCCGTGGAATTTTGATGTTTTCTGCCCAGATGTACCGCGGACCAAGTGATAACTGTCAGAACGATTAAAAATATTGCAAACGATATGAACCACTGGCTCAATCCAAAAGCCATAGCAACATTTATCCTCTTTATAAAAAGCAACTTTACAAGCAAATCGTCTCGTTGTTTTTCTATTTCTGGTATGCTCTACGGGAATAGGACTTATTGTTTACCATTTTGAAACAAAAAATAATCTGCCTCGATACGCATTTGACTGATTTATTCAGGCTGCGTTTCTATACTTTTAAGGATTGAATTTATATCTCCTAGATGTAAATAAATTTAATTCTTTATTTAATATAAATTGATATAAAAAATTTATAATGCAATTAAATTCATAACTTCCACACTCTAACAAAATTATTAATAAGAATATGATTTATAAATTATCTGGCAACCAGATAACAATTTTTGCACGCAAATTTTGCTTGTCTTATGCATGCAAACTTGTACGAGATTTGTCTGAATTTTTGCTTGTAAGATATTATATGCTTAGTCTGTGCTTTTACATGCAAGTAGTTAAGCTCTTGTATCAACGTATAATTTTGCGCGCAAATATCTAACGATTTACATACAAAAGTGGCTCAACCCAGCGAGAAATGACTCGTCGATCGACGTCGAAACGATGTCGAATCAACGTCGATACCGTCAAATCGACATCGGTTCAACATCGTTTCGATGTCGATCGACGAATTATTTCTCACTGGGAACAACGCAAGCAAAATCCTATCCCAGTACGCCGTCAGAATGCTAGATGTTTGCGCGCAAAATGTTTTCTGGGATAACTCTTAAGTAAAAATATATAACATTATATATACATATATATATAATTATTCGCATTAGAGAATCCCTCTCTCTCACTCCCATTTATGTTATATTTAACTTATCGTCCTCATACATATGTATATGTATAATAACTGCAATTATTTAAACAAAATTTCGAGAATAAAATAAAATTTTTTTAAATATTATTATTATGGCCGGTATTCATAGTCCATTCTTATATTTAAGGTCATCTTAAGTA